GTGTGTGTGTCTGTGTGTGCGTGTATGTGCGTTTGTGCTGAGTTTTCATCTTGAGATCTATAAAAGCTACAAGATTGAGAATTTGGCATCTTAATCTGCACCTACAGGGCCCTGTCTTCAAAATGAACGCTCACTTCCATGTGGTTCTCGCGTACAAGTGAACCACACGCAAGCTAGAAGGCTGAAACTTCGCAAAAGTGCCTCTTGCTCACGTCCAACTCAACGATTTTAAACCCAACATTCACGCACCCCAAACTCTCAAGTACGTACACGCCGACTTCAAGTCGGCATCGTGCCAACCCGAGAACTAAGCTGACCAAGAAGTTGTAGAGAGTTGTAATTTTGCAGTGCTATGTGTCAGTAGCTGATATGCCCGTGAAAATAAATTGAGCTTTTCAGCCCCTCCGCATCTCGCCTACGGACAAATGAAATTTGGTTTAGACGATTTTGTAACTTCGGAACCAAAGCAGCTAGAGCGCTGAATCTTTTTGGGCTAGCCAATGGCGGCGTTTGGCCATATGGACCTGAAAACAACTTTCAGATCCTTTTCGTGTCTCACTTACTTCTCACATACGAACACATGAAATATGACGTAATTCTGCAACTGAAACAGCTAGAGCTCCTAAGTTTTCTGAACGTGGTCGTGTTAGGGCAGGGACACGTAAAAACAAAATTATCTTTTTCCCCCAATTACGATCGCGTGGAAGTTGACTAACCTCGCAACCAGGATAGCCAGGATACTCAAATTTCCTGAACATGGTCATCGGCTATGTTTGGGCAGGCACAAGCAAGAAAAACTTCCACGTTTTCTTTCACATGCGAAAACGTGAAATTTGAAGTAAACTTGCAACTAAGGCTGAAATTCTCGGAGTCTAGCCCTTAAGCGTGTATGGACTGGTGAGCACAAAAAAAAAAAAACTTTCCCTTTCCCCTGCCTCCTTTACGCATGAACAGGTGAATTTAACGTAATTCTGCAACCAAAGCAGCTGGGGTTGTTCAAAAATTTCAAGCGTGACTCAGGACCGTGTTTGGGCAGGCACACGTGGAGATAACATTTTCGTTTCCCTTACTTATGAACACGTGAAATTTGACGCAACACCGCAACCGAAGCATCTAGAGTGGTGAATTTTTTTCAGCATGACCAAGACCGAGCTTACTGAGATGCACTGTAATAATTTCTGCCAGCCATGGTGGCCAGTCCCAATTCTTTTAACTGGAAGATCCTTTAGCTAGAAAAATTTGCCAGAAAAACACTATAAAAACCAGCGGAGAACTATGCATAAAACGCATCTTCGCACCGGCAGCCGGGAGCTGTAGAATTATTTGGGAACTGACAAATGGTAAGCAATGTTCACCGGTTGTCAGCAAAAAGAGAGTATCTTACGCATTGAGCATTACTTTCTTGAATGATCACAACGGTGCTTCACATGTCGTCATCTGCCAGGCCGATTGACCGTCTACACACTCGAAGCTATATTCTAAGGATCCTGTGTTCATCTCACTGTTCATCAAAGACGGCAATTTTTTCTCGAATTTCCTCGATGACGACGATTTCGAATCACAACAAGCTACTTCAGCTTCTAACACTGTGAAAACTGAAAAGGCGCATTCTCTGACCTGCATTTTTACAATGCGATCGGACCATGTGAACGACTGGATTGTGACATCGAGTCGCTTGAGCAACAGCTGAATCCTGGTGCCATATTCCTGGATCAATTTCTCATTTAATGCCGCTATCTTGGCCCACTGTGTATCGGTAAGAGATGCTGTTAGCAACGGTTGCGGTTTCTGCTTGCATTTGGTCATTCGTTTCTCAGCCTGTAAAGCTGATTCCCTAAAAAATCACATAGAGATGCCCAATACCAAAGTTATTACAAGGGCGATATTTTGCCCATCACTGTTCGTGCACTAAAGCTCTTTCAACAAATTTCCAAGATATTATCTGAAAGTTTCCCACCGTAATTTGAATCTTTGGGTGAGAATTTACTCACGTTTCCTCATCGAAACAATTTTACAGTCATTGCTTGGCCATTTTACGAAGATCACAATTAAATAAAGAACATACTTCAAAGGTTTCGGGGCATAAGACAAGAACACTCAGGGGCTTGTGGTTACTCTACTTGGCTTCTTCTCGTCTGAGGTGTCTACGATCATCGGGCCCTCAACTGCCGTTTATTGCAATGGCTATTATTCCGTCATCTTGTAATTTGAAACATCTTTTCCTGTACAGCTAATGAATTGCCACTACGGACTGCAGTTTTCTGCCTACGATCTCTTTGTTTTAACGGATCTCACACAATGACTTTTACCAACTTAATAAAGAAAAAACATGGAAAAATTAAAATTAAACACCAACATGCTTTTGGCGACTGTGCAAAAATCTGTATAATCCTCTTTCATCGACAAAGCAGTCAAGCAAGGGGTTAAAGGAAATGTACCTGTGCTAAGGGAACAAAAGAAGTTCTAACGCAAAATGTTCTTTTGCTCCCACAAATGTAAATAAACATATACAAATTCCTTTTTTTTTTCGAAGAGAAAAAAATGAATTAAGTAGAATCGCTTAGAACAAATTGCCCCTTCTCCCAACTCAAGAAATTTTTAACTGTCAAAAACAAAAGCAGTTCGCAATTAAGCTAAAGCAGAATCAAAGGAAACTGAGGTCAAGAAAAATTCTTCAAAAAAAGTGGCAAATTTTTGTGCCTCTTTATTGAAAATAAAATTTCGAAAAAATCGATTGGATTTTTAACAAAAACCAGCTAACCATACTGCTCAGATCTGCGAAAACTTTTCCAGCAGTAACATTCGCTGGAAGTTGGCCGATGTCCAGTGCACGAAGTGTGTCTTCCAAATGACACACTTCTTCGCTTTTATGCTGCTGAAAGTTTTTTCGTGATACAGTATAATACACTTTTTCACAAAAAACCAGGTATGCCGTGCATTTGGTTAAAAAAAGAAAAAAAAAACACAGTGAAGTACTGATACACCATTGTGAAATACTTCTAAAGAAGCTCGTGAGCGAAGCAATCGGCGGCATCGATAAATGCTTGCGGCACAACAAACACGAACAAAAATTAGGGGCTTTTCGCCTAATTTTTCCATTAAAAACTAAAGCTAATGAATGAGGCAGCATGACTATAATCAAGAAAGGGTACAGCCCCGTCCCTTCCCCTCCCCCCCCCCCCCCCCCCCCCCCCCCCCCC